ATTCCCCAGCCTCTTCCCAACCGCCAGCACCCAACTTCCCCACCCGCCGTCCCCTAGGCACCACCACAATCACTAGCCCCTTTCCCCTCATAGCTCCCAAAATCTGAATTCAATTCCATCATAAAATATTTCCTAATTTAGCCCACCAATTTAGGAGGAGATTTAAAATTCAAAATTCAAAGATTTGAATTTAAATCCTCTCTTAAATAACCCCCCTCTAATTTAGGAGAGTCCTCAATCAACATAAATCTGAAATTAATTTCAAATTTTTGTCCCCAATCACCTTAATTTCTTGGGCCCACCTCCTTAATGCCTAACCCCTCTCTCTCTCCTCTCTCCTCTCTCCTTGGCCGACTCCTTCCCCCCCTCTCTCTCTCTCTCTTGCCTCATTAAATCACCTCCCACTAATTGCTTCAATCAAACCCTCATTAAGGAATGAATTTCCCTCCTTTCTACGTTATTTGGGGATTCAAAATTCAAAATAGCTCCTAAGACCTGCTCTAAATTGCTGTCCAGCAATTTTCCACTAAGAAACTGCTATCCTGGAAACTCCGACCAGCCATAGTGCTGTCAGATCTGCTCCTGTTTGCTGACCAGAAATCCCTCAAGTGTTGTCCAAGACGTTTCTAACCTCAAAGGCTGCTGTCCAAAAGTTCTTCAAGGATCAAAATTGCTGGCCAGGCTTTCCTAGTGACCATCCAAACATTTTTAGTTGCTGTCCAACCATCCTAGCAGTTTTCCTACGGCTGTTTTGTTGTCCAGAGGGTCTCCGATTGCTGTCTAGGAGGTTCCCAAACCTTGTGTTGCTGCCCACTTCTTCCCCAACACCAAAGTGACTACGCCGGAGCTCCGCCTTTGTCTTTCCCTTTGGAATATTAAGCGTGCAAATTTCCTTTAAGCAATTCATCCATGCAATTATGTTTCACATCACATGTACAAATCATCTTACCATAATTTCCTATTTTGATTGAATTATATTTTCGATGGATGAAATCACCTTGTGTTAGCATGAGGCCTAAATCTTCTATTTGATGATCTTTTATCTTTCTTATTCTTAAATATTTAACAATTGGTTTAATTGCATGATTGAATTTTGTTAAATTTGGTACAAAAGGAATTTTCAGTTGTGCGATACGGCGGAAGCAACAGGGGTCCGCGCCAAGTGGACTCGGAAGTAACTGACTGGTCGGTCCAGCAAATTGCGGCCAAGGTGGGGCCGACAGACAGAGAGGGGGAGTTGACTAAGGGGGTGAGGCCTAGCAAAGAATTAAAAAATTATATTAGGAGAAAATCAATTGGAAAATCCTTTTCTAATTGAATTATTTTCAAATTGAGGAGGGAAACATATTAGGAAGGAGGCTGATTTAAGAGGGAGGAAGGAGACTGATTTAAGAGGGAGGAAGGAAGCTTATTTAAGTCCATAGTAGGGTTCATTTTATTCTTATGCAGATTTTGTTTGGAGTATAGTAGTTTTCTTGTGTGAGGGATCCTAGCGGCATCTAGGATTTGAGAGAGAATGTCCTCTTGACAGAGGACCATTGTATTTTTCTATTGTTCATAATTGATTTTCTTATCAATAAAAGTCTATTTTTTGCTGAATCTCTTGGAGTATTTTGCTGTTTTGGATACCAAGTCATATCAAATTGGTATCAGAGCGCGTTTATGGACCAAAATTTGGGTTTTGTTGTTGATTTTTGCTACACTTTTCCTTCTCATTCGCTGAATTCTGCTTTGGTCCTAAAATTGGGCCCTTGTTGATTTTTGCAGCGATCTTCCTTGTTGTCTGCTGAATTTTGCTGCTTGGACTGAAATCTAGGATTTTTGTTGCTGATTTATGCAGCAATCTTCCTTGTCGTCCGCTGAATTCTGCTGTTTGGAGTCCAGAGCCATGTCAAAGTTGCTTTCTATCGTTGAGAGAACCTTGATCCAGGTACCAATGGCCTGAAAAAGAGTTGAGCATTGGAAAAAGGCTGGAGGGGGAATTAGGGCAACTATGAGCGGATGTGGGATCAATGAATGAACGCATATCGGTGATTGATGGAAGATTCGGGAACATGGAGAGGATGATGAAGCGGATGTTTGAGTTTCATACTAAAACGGTATCGCCGGGATTGGGAAGAAATCAGGAACATGACATGTCGAGGAAAGTCGGGGAGGTAGAAATTTTAGGAGATGAGGAGGAAATACCTCACTGGGAGCCTATTCCGAGAATAGGGATGGGTAGGGAGTATGTAGAAATGAGGGAATGGGAAGAATAGATCAAGCGGGCTGAATTTGGAGGAAGGAGGGGATATGAATGGAGGGATGAGAGGGAACCGTGGAGGGACCTCTATGCTCGCGCCATGTGAGGCATGGGAGGCGGAAGGGGACATTGGGGCAGAGAGGATCATAAAATTAGAAAGTTGAAAATGCCGGTATTTGAAGGGATGACACACATGGATAGATATATATGATGGAGATATATTTTACAGTGAACGGATTGACAGAAGATGAGAGACTGCTGGCCGCCACTCTATATTTGGAAGAGAAGGCACTGACATGGTACCAATGGTGAGAGGTGAGGTACCCAATCCGTTTGTGGGATGAGTTCAAGGAATGCTTGTTGGAGCGCTTTGAAGCCCAACATGATGGGGATTACTATGAGCAATTCTTTGCCTTGACATTGGTTGGCACTGGGATGGAGTATCGGGAAAGATTTGAGCTATTGTCAGGATGGGTAGGAATGTTATCAGAGGCATTGTTGGAAATCAACTTCATGAAAGACCTTAAATCAGAGTTGAGAGCAGTAGCATGGGTGCAAGATCTCGTGATCTGGGAGAGGCGATGGAGTTGGCACAGATGATTGAGATTTGAGAACAAGAAGTCACTTCAAAAGAATAGTAAAGGGGGTAGTGGAGGAGGTTCTTACCGCACGGCGACTACTTTCCCATCACCCAGAATGCAGATTGTACCAATTAAAAGGGAGACACCAAAGTAGGGCAATTTGGGGGCCTGACTAAGAGGAGATTTCAAGAGGTTGACTGACACGGAATTACAAGGCAAGAGAGCTAAAGGGCTATGTTTCAGATGCGACGAAAATTTACACCAGGACATAGGTGTAAAAATCTTACATTATAGGTAGGGGTGTCAATATTTGACCTGACCCAAAAATCCGACCAAAACCCGACTTGAAAATTTGGGTTTGGGTCAACCCGAACCCTAAACGGGTTGGGTTCGGGTTAAGGATTTCGACCCGTTTGTAAAACTGGGTCGGGTTCAGGTTGACCCGAAAACCCAAAACGGTTTGACCCATTTTTAATTAAATGAAGAGAATTTTAAAAGATTGTTATGAAATAGTAAATGCTATTTAAAAATAATCATAAACAATGTTGCCCAATTTAAATTAAAGCTTGGTTTATTTTAAAATGCTTGAAGTAAATGTAACCTTAATTTAATTTAGTTTTAATAAATCAAATTAAATAAAATTTTTTTAGTTAAACGACTAGAAGCAGGTCAGGTTCGAGTTCAGAAAACCGGCTTGTTTGCAAAAATGGGTTGGGTTCGGGTCGGGTCGAACAGTGTCGGGTCAATTTCGAGTTGGACCCGAACCCAACCTGTGACCCGATTTTGATAGCCCTTATTGCAAGTTCTCATTGTGTATGATGGAGAAGAGGTGGATGAGGAAAAGGAATTAAAGGAGGAAGAAGAGAAAGAGCCCGTGCATTTGGAGGTGGTGAAAGTTTCATCAAACTCTGTGGTGGGATTCACCCCGAATCACACTATGAAGGTAAGGGGGCATATAGGAGAAAAGACAGTGTCAATCCTAATGGATAGTGGGGCTACCCACAACTTCATTTCGAACCAAGTGGTAGACAAACTAGGGTTGAAATTGGTAGACACAAGAAGGTTTGGAGTAATGATGGGTGCGAGAAAAGTAGAGAGAAGTAGAGGGATATGTTAGGGTTTGGTGGTAGAACTGCAAGGGATCCACATTAGGGAGGATTTCCTTACATTAGAGTTGGGAAGTATTGACTTGATTTTGGGCATGAAATGACTATAGACCTTAGGGGAGACCAAGGTGAATTGGAAGGCTTTAGCTATGAAGATTTAGTTGGGGGAAGAAGGGTGGTTGGTAATTAAAGGAGACCCAAGCTTATCTAAGGCTATGGTTTCATTGACAACCTTGGTGTGTACCCTTCAAGGGAAAGGAGGTGGATTCTTGGTAGAGCTTTAGAGTTTGGAGGGAGCAGGAACCGAGTGTGAAGAAGACATTCCAGACATCGTCCAACCTTTGCTTTAGCAGTTTAGGGAGCCCCCCAAATAACATACGACCCTACCGATACCCCAGATTCAGAAGGATGAGATTGAAAAGCTGATTAGGGAGATGGTTGAAGCTGAAATCATCAAGCCTAGCATGAGCCCTTTTTCAAGTTCGGTATTGTTGGTGAAGAAAGATAGGAGTTGGAGATTTTGCGTAGACTATCGTGCTTTAAGTAGGGAGACGATACCAGATAGGTTTCCCATTCCTGTCATCGATAAACTATTAGATGAATTACATGGATCTGTGATATTTTCTAAGATCGATTGAAATTTTGATATCACCGTATTAGAATGCGACTCGGAGACACCCACAATACAGCTTTTAGGACGCATGAAGGACATTATGAGTTTTTGGTGATGCCGTTTGGCTTCATTAACATACCGCCACCTTCCAATCCCTGATGAACAAGCTTTTCTAGCCCTACTTGTGTAGGTTTGTGTTGTTTTTTTTTTAACGACATATTTGTTTATAGCAAATCCGAGGGGGAGCACTTGGAGCACCTGGGAGTTGTGCTGTCGACCTTAAGGGAGCACTCCTATTTGCTAATAAGAAGAAGTGCTCTTTTACCCAGTCTAGAGTGGAGTACTTAGGGCATGTGATTTCTCAGGAAGGAGTTGCTGTTGACCAGAATAAGATTGAGGCTATTCTCAGATGGCCCATACCCAAGAATCTAAAGGAGTTTAAATGATTCCTAGGTCTTAGCACTTCCGGATTTTAGACAGTCTTTTCTGGTGGAGATAGACACATCGGGTTTTGGGCTAGAAGCAATACTTATGCAGAACCAAAGGCTTGTGGCCTTTTTCAATCAGGTGTTAACGGCTTGGGCCAAGCCCAAGTCAGTTTACGAGTGGGAGTTGATGGCGATTGTGTTAGTCATTCAGAAATGGCGACCGTATCTCCTCGGAAGATATTTCATCATTAGGTCTTACCAGAAAAGTTTTAAGTATTTGTTGGAACAGAGAATGGTTAGTGAGGAGCATCAAAGCTGGCTTTCCAAGTTAGTGGGTTATGACTTTGAAATTCAATATCGACCCGGAGAGGAGAACAAAGCAGCAGATGGGTTATCCAGGTGCATGGGGGAACCCCATATCGCATTGCCTGTGCCCTGGGTGGTTGACTAGGAGGCACTGAGGAGAGAGAGTGAACAGAATGCAGGCCTGAAAACATTAGGGAGGAGATGCAGGAAATAAGGACAGTTATCCAGAATATTCAGTAGTGGGATTGAAGTTGCTTCATGAAGGGCGATTTGTGCTTCCAAAGACCTTTTCTTACATTCCCAGCTTATTACAGGAGTTCCATATGGTAACCATGGGGGCATTTAGGGGCCCAAAAGACATATCGCCGGTTATTTGTCGAGATGTATTTAGAAGGGTTGCAGAAGGATGTTGAAAAAATGATGGCTAGCTATGATATATGCAAGAGGTACAAGTATTTAGCTATGTCTCCAGGAGGGCTCCTCCAGTGGTTAGCTCTGACAGAAAGAGTGTGGGATTCATAGAAGGGCTTCCTAAATCAGAAGGTTACATGACGATGTTAGTGGTAGCGGACTGATTGAGTAAATATGCTCATTTCATCCCCCATCACCACCCCTATACAACATTATTATTAGTACCAACAATTTTTATGAGGGAAGTAGTGAGACTTTATGGAATGCCAGAATCAATTATATAATATAGGGACAAGATCTTCCTAAGCCAGTTTCAGAAGGAATTGTTCAAAATACAGGAAACTGTCTTGAAAAGAAGCACTGCTTATCATTCTCAGACGGACGGATAGACAAAGGTAGTCAATCGTAGTGTGGATACCTATCTGTGGTGCTTTATATCAGATATACCCAAGTTGTGGGCCAAATGGTTGGCTTGGGCAGAATATTGGTATAACACGTCTTATCATTCAACATCGCAGAAAACATCGTTCAAAGTGTTATACAAACGAGATCCGACTTGCTTGATACTATGGGCAAGGTGGCACACCAGTGGCTTCAGTAGAACAATACTTGGAGGACAGAGATAGGATCTTGGGGGAGCTGTTGGGACATTTGTTGAGAGCTCAACTAATTATGAAAAAGAAGGCATATGCACATAAGTGAGACATACAGTTCGAGGTGTGGGACAAGGTTTACTTAAAGCTTCAACCCTACAGACAGAAAACCCTGGCATGCAGACGAAATGATAAGTTATGCCCCCAATATTTTGATCCCTACGAGATAATGGAGCGAATAGGGGCGTGGCTTATCGCCTACAGTTACCATTATCGTCAACCATTTATCTCGTATTTTATGTGTCCTAGTTGCGGCGAGTGATAGGAGAGCATATTCCTTCCTGGACACTTCCCTTGACCTTGACATAGGACATCAAAGTGTTGTTGGAACCACTGAATGTCGAAGGAGTGCGACCGAGAGTAACGGGCAGCAAAGAAGTGTTGATTAGGTGAAGAGCCTACCGGAGCATGAGCCACATGGTAGTCCTACCATACTATGTAGCAACAATTCCCTATATTCCACCTTGAGGACAAGTTGGGACTTTTGGGGGGAGTATTAATACGGTGAAAGCTGCAGGGGTCCGCACCAAGCGGACCTAGGAGCCATTGAATCGGCTAATCCAACAAATTGCTGCCTAGTTGGGGTTGACGGACAGAGAGGGGGAGTCAGCTAAGTGGCTGGGGCCCAACAGAGAATTTAAATATTATATTATGAGAAAATCAATTAGGAAATCCTTTCCTAATTGAATTATTTTCAAATTGAGGATGGAAACATATTAGGAAGGAAGCCGATTTAGGAGGGAGGAAGGAAGCTTTTTTAAGTCCATAGTAGGGTTTATTTTATTCTTTTGCAGATTTGTTTTGTGCTATAGTTCTCTTGTGTTAGGGATCCTAGTGGCGTCTAGGGTTTGGGAGAGAAGATCCTCCTCTTGAAAGAGGACCATTGTATATTGTTTTTGTTCGTAATTGATTTTCTTATCAATAAAAATCTGTTTTTTTATTGAATCTCTTGGAGTATTTTGCTGTTTTGGATACCAAGACGTATCATTGTGATTTGATATTCAATTGAGTTTGTAATCTTTATGATGATTATTTTCTAAAAGAGATTTGTGTTCGAAATTTTCATCTAAAGTTGTAAATAATTGTCTATATTAGAAATTTTTGGCTGTGAATTTGACCTCGTGTGTGTGAATTTGTTCTTTTCAGTTGAAATTTGTGGTAGTAAATCTTAGATCTCAAGATACCCGATATTACGGCCTTGTTTTATTTTGCATTAACATCTGCATTATTCCCGCTTAGAATAATTTCTTCATAAGAAGTACTTCAACTAATCTTCTAAGCACTCGAAGGGATCTTGCTAGTAAGCATCAGCTGGTGGGACCCATAATTCCCTTTATTCTCTTTGTTTTCCTTGTAGCAGATATGTTATCGTAAACGTGAATGTTAATACATACAACTGTTTATGCTCATTAAGTTGAATGAGTTACCTCTGATCTTATAACTTCTAATCATGTGAGATCTGTGTTGGTAAGTTGATCCATCTTTTTGATCCAAATCAATATTCCTACCAATCCTTAGATTAATTAGTTATAAGCTCATATTAGTTATTGTGTAATGGTTAGCGTGCGTTAAGTGATGAATTGGCTTTTTATTAAAATTGTTTCAGATCTGCAAATTTTCATAAAACTAAACAGAACCGTGAAATGATACTCTATTAATGAGTTAGAACCATTGCTCTGGTATAGAACCAGATTGGTTTGATTTGGTATAATTTGGCAAGCATCTAGTCAAGCTAGTTGATAGTGCATGTGATGGATTGGCGGTTGAGCCGATGGGCCCCACTAGGGTGGGCAGGTCGCAAGAGAGACAAGGGGAATTATTTAGGAAAATTTTAATTACAATTAGGAGGGAATTAATTATGGAAAGAAATCTTATTTGAATTTCAAATCTGAGGAGGAATTATTCAGGAAAAGCTCAGGAGAGTTAATATTCATTATGTAAAGAGGAATTAATGGAGAATTGTTTATGAAAGTTTTAATTACTATTGGGGGGATTTAATTAGAGAAAGAAATATACTTTGAATCCAAATATGAGATGGAATTATTTAGGGAAAGGAGGCTGATTTTGGGGAGAATTCAGGGAGCCTATTTAAGGCTAACTATGGGGTGATTTCAGATTATACTTGATTTTGCTTAAATTAATTTTGCTTAGGTTGAGTGGGCTCTAGCTGATGGCTAGGGGTTTGGGAGAGCCGGATCTTCTTCTCCAATTGAATATCCAACTGTATTTTACGTTTTTCTTCTTAGTTCTTTCAATAAGAAAAGAGTTTATGTGTGTTCTTTTTCCTAAATTTCTTGTGTCATTCTCTGGTTTTGCTAAAATTGCATCAACTTCCTATTAGCATGTCATTGAATTTAAATAACGCATTTAGTTAACTAATGCAGTGCTCCAAGTACTGTGAGCTCGTCATTTTATGTATTGCTTGTTTTGTTTTAAAAAGAGTTTTAGTCAGCTTTATCCTTTCATTTTGCAATTTCGTAATATTTTATGTGTCAATGATTGATTATGATTAGATAAACATGCACTGGTGGGAGTTAGCATGACGATTTGACATTGGCTGATGAGAGGAGATTGTACGTTTTATAAAATCATTAAGTTTGGTTTAATGTAATATAAGTTGTGTTGAAAACCACGCTCTCCGTTAGAAAATAACAAATTCCTGTTTGTCCGCTTTTATTGCCTGCCCTTCTCGTTTTCCTACTTTATTGCCCTCTTCATCAACCCTGTTCAACATTCCCTGATTTTCTTTCTACTTATGGCTTAATGTCTTGGTTAGCCTTTGGGAAATTTGGATCTTGAGTTTGTTGAATATGGGCATTGTCTGACTTTTTTGCTTGTTCTTGAAAACTTCTTGGTACCTGAGTCTCTTTTCTAATGAAGGTTGGATCTTTGTAGTAAAAAGTGTGAAAATCCATTCTTCTATTTTTCTGCTTAGTTGATTTTTCTTGATTGCATGAATGCTATGATTTATCTTTATTGCTTGAATACTATGATTTTGTAGATGATTCTCTGATTCTGGGCTCTTACTTTTTTGAATCCGCTGGTCTCTGCAGTTTTGAAGAGAGGCTAGAAGGCGAAACTTGGTTAGGTTTAAGGTTTTTGATTTCTGATTCTACTTTCATTGATCTTGTCTGCTAGTTCCTGAACTCTTTTGATATCCTTCTATGAAGCACATTAGGGGTACCTCTTCAGTTCATGATGGCTTCTTCAGTTTCTTCATCCCTTGGGAAAGTACACTTTCCCTGTGACAAATCCTATTTAAAGTTCCCCTCCATCAGGAGGAATTATTCTTAACTAACTTAGCAAAAGTAGAGTTTGGCGACTGAAGCCTGATCCAGTTCTGGCAAAACTCTTAAGAATCTTGTTACCTGTTTCTATTTCACACAGGTCTGCAGCCTCTGTAATTATTGTTTTTCCTTGAAAAGCATAGTTACCTTGCTTTGACACGTACTTGGAGTGGATATAATGCTAAAAAGTGCTGTTAATAGAGCTTTTTTAAACAACATTTTGGTTCAGGTGCTTTCATATTCTCCTTTTTTTATTCCAGATCTTTCCCATTTACAAAATCTGTGTGGATGATTTGTGCTTCAATATGTACTCCTAAGTCATCAACTTGATCTATTCCAAGAAGCCGGTGGTGCTGGTGGAGCGTCTCTTATGGAAATTTAAAGGAAATTGAACAATTCGTGTCAATGGGTTCCATGTTGCGGTATAATGTGCAAAACTGGCGCTTTAATAATTCCGGGCAGCGCATTCTTCATTATCCTAACTTGTTTTTCAACTTTGAAGTCATTCTTGTGGGCTTCCTTGCAAAGCTTCAGGGATACTTAGTTATGGGGTACTGGTTTCTCTTGCCTGGAGTAATGAATAAATGAGAGTGTGCCATGGAGAGTATTCACAAAGCATCATCATCTCGTTCGAGTACCAACAGAAAACAACAGTGCATTATTTCCTTTTAATTGCTGTGCGCAGGTATTTAGTATGTTTGGGCTTCTTCTTTCATCTTGAAGAAGGTTGATCTTCTTGGATTTATCGAGCAATATCAAGTAAGATAACTGTTATTCTTCTTGCTATTTGTGACCATTTAATTGCTATTTGTGTTGTTTCAATTGTAATTATTGTTCTTCATTGGAAAGAATAACCATCTTTGTACTTTGACTTGAAGCTTGGAGTAGATCTAATCTTGAAATTTAAATTCTCGAGCAGTGGAAATGATGTTGAAAAGGGCTGTTAATGGGGCTGTTTTAGGCAAAGTTTTGTTTCTAGGGGTTTCATATTCATACTAGTCAGTTTTGTTTTGTCTTCATCATTCCCATCTACAAAACCTTAATGTTAATTTATTTCTTTTGATTGTGCTTCAATTTGATGCACTCCAAAGACATCAAGAAGAATTCTCTTATTATCAAGGATTGAAATTTAGTGGTTTTAAGATCTAGCACACGCATTTGAACAAAATGCGATGAATGAGTTCATAAAACAATAGAATGTATAAAGCTATCCATGTTTCCCACCCCCAACCCGGGCGTGGTGTAGAGATAAGGAGAAAAATATTAGGACTTTTTACTGCTTTGTCTCCTTTTCCATCCACAAAATGACAAAACCTTGATGTTGATTTGTTTTCTTTTGATCACACTTCAACTGGACTCACTCTAAAGACATCAAGAAGAATTCTCTTATTATATGGTGATTAATTTTAGCTGTTTTAAGATGATGACACATGTATCTTGAACAAAATTAGATGAATGAGTTCATAAAACAATATAAGGTAGAAGGTATGAATAAGCGCCATTGCTTGATCCTTTCTCGTGTTCATCATTTATCTTTCAAGCAGCTTTTCTCTAGTATTTGTTATCAAACTTTGGCTTTGGAGTTTGAGGGAAAAGCTTGAGTTATGGCATTTAAATATGGAAGGGTTTGATGGAAAGGACGTCAATTATTAGAAGATGTAGGTCAAGGATTAGCTTTATTTTAAAAGAAATACACCCACCTTTCTTTTAGATAAATCCCAGTTGTAATGAGTCCAGAATTGGAATCTTCTTGATAGACATATGTTGAGAATTATATGCTTGTCTTGCAGGAAGAACGGGGCCTTCAATATACGATACAAGTGGACTTCATCTGGAGTTATGAAGTCTCTATGATAAATGCATGAGAAGCCAGTCGTGGCGAATAAAGATATCTAATGAAAGTATTTTTCAATTTGAGGATGACATAACACTACGAGAAATTATAAAAATATTGATGAGTGTATTCTGTCAAAATAATTAGCCGATTATTGACATAGGGCTTCAAGGAAAATAGACTCAATGGTGAACATTTACTTACCTATGGATTTTTCACTAACTTTTAGTTGGTGAGTTTTTTCTTGTAATTAATTGGTTACCTCAATAAATTAAACAACCTAACTTTTATTCTCCTTTTATTCTCTTTCACTAATTTTGCCAATTCGAGCCTCTCATTGGTGTTGTCATCGATGCGCCACCCCCAAGCCTCTCATTGTCATGCACTTCTCTTCTAATCTCTTTGTAATTGCCTCAAATTTAATTTCACTGAAATACCTGTAAATTTGAAATTTTGGTTAAGTGAGCACTACGGCGTTGGGGTTGTGAAGTGCTGTGATACATAGCTCTTGGGTTTACAAGGGTTTGAGTGAGCGTAGCGACGTTGGGGAGCATAGCGTTATATCACAAAAAATATTTTTTTAATAAACCAAAGCCATTTATACAAAATCCACATTCTACCATTCCCTCCCCATTCTACTTTTCATGTCAAGTGAGAGAAGTGAGAAGGGGAAAGAGGAGAGAGAAAGCGGGCTTTGGATCGGTATTTTTCATTGCTCTAGTTGCAAAAAGTTGCTTTGAAAATGATAGGTAACCTTAAATATACTTTTGTTTCGATAATTTTGAGTTCTCTTTTTTCTTTCCTAAAATTGATAAAAATATAATATCTTATTTTAGTAAACTTTTACCATATAACTTTTATTATGTCATAGATATTTTCACCCGAAAATGTTTAGACAGGTTTATATTGAAATTTCGACAGTTAATTTTGCACATGTCAATTTATTTGAAATGAGCAGAACAATACTAAGCACAAAATGATCAGGAGTGTGTTGACCTCTAACTACCTCACGGTTCCAGCAACCGTTCCCACTACCCCACTCAGATGAACCTCTCTCCTTCTCATCTGAACACTTATGCGTAGAAATCTCTCTTGTTTTCCCCATCTCCCTCAGCTGCAAGCACGAAGGACCCTAGCCGAAGCCGAAGGCGGTGGACTTCTTCGATCACGCTACATGTCAAAGCCACCCAAGCCCCTCTTGCTCGATCTTCGTATGACTGTAGTCAAAGCCAACGTTGATCGATCCAATCCACGCGTCTCCTTTACGCAAACCCGACTGCTCGCACGACCGCGGCTCCGTCTCTCTAGCCTGATCCAACCCCGAATCCCATTCACATCAACCCGCAGACCCGACCCTCCGTTCCCAACTCCAGTGCCAGACCTAGCCTCCTCCTGTCTCCCGATCTCTTTGTGCCACAAGAGGAAGACCCGATCCCAATCAAACCCTGCATGTCTCCGCTCTAATTCAACCCGAGCCAATCTAATCAGATCAATTTGATCCAATTACAAGTTTAAAAATATATATATTTATGTATACATTAGTATGTTATATGTGATAATAATAATAAAGAGTGAAAAAGAGAGAGCAACCGGTAATCGTCGATTTTGAAGTCCCTGCACAGTCGATCTTATATCCGACCAGCATGCACAAATTTGTAGCCCACGTGCCATCGATCTTTGGTCTGGGAAGAAAGATCTTTTAATTTGAAGACATGCATCTTTGTATCTTTAGATTCGGGCAAAGATGTTCAATGGAAAGCCCTGCACAGTCGTATCTTAGATCCTGGCGGGTGGAAACTAAAGGCAAGTGCCTCCCAACCTCTCACAGAGAGGGAACGTTTGAAGGCTGTCAAAATTTGAACAAATAAATGAACGCACCAACTAGAATCAAAGATAGTTAAAAGAACAAATAAATAAAATTTAATCAACCCATTAAACAATGAATGTACAATATTGCTCCAAATCATGATATTTTCAATTGCTTGGTTAGGTTTAAAATTCTCAAAATAGTCTGCTTGACAATCACTCCTTTTTAGTAATAAAGTTGAGGATAACTTCAAGAAAGAGAACAAGAAGATGGAAAACAAAATATCATGGAATTGATACTGATGAAAATAGAGGGGCTGAATTGGCTGTGTAATAGCACTAGGCCTTCAAGCTATACAACTCTATATCGAAGGCCATTCTTCTTTGAGAAGTTGTTGCCATCATTACCTCAATCCTTTTTTAAAGGAACTCTGTGTTTGATTGCCAAATCCTCTTGTTGAAAGTAAGCATCAAAGGAACCAACACCATTATTAACTTGACGATTGAGATCTCATGTATCTTTCAAGGATTCATAAATAATATTGGAGGTGCTATCACAACTATTATGAAAATGATTTGTGAGAACCAAGTTACCCATTTTGTCACAAAAAAATTGTTTAAAGCATGAGAATGCTAATATGGAGTATCATGTTCATAATATTCATCATCATTTCGGACTCTAGATTTTATGTAACTATACTACACTATATTTTATTTGAGATTTATACATATTGAGTGATGTTAAGTATAGTGAGATGTTATTGAATCATTTTCATGTATTTTAAGCTTTCACTATGCATTTGTGTCACTCCGGGTTATGAATCATATTGGCTCTTGATATCTTTAGGAGTTATTAAGTCATGTCATTCAATTCATTATATTTTGAATTTAAACATTTATTCATATGTATGTATGACAAATTTCAACAATACATATGCATGTATTGTGCAATGCCACTTGAAATTCCAAGTTTTTTGTACTTTACAATGATTTAAAAAAAATGCCAACTATTTCATTAGCCGTGGACAATCTCATCTTGATAAGTTAAATATAATATATGAAGACAAATGACGATAGAAAAATTATTGACAGTGTTTATTTCCATAAACCAATTTATTATTATTATTTTTAAATGATTTTTCTTTTTTACATTTTTTATCATTTAAAATGACAATTTTTATTGAAATTAATTATGTGGAGGGTTATTTGTTTCGTTCAAAATTTCAGCAGTCTCTCGACGTCCCCTCATCGTGATGGGAGGTTAGGGAGGGCACTTGTCCTTTTGGATTGGCTTAGTCGGATCAAATCAATGGCAAGGACTTTGGGGGAGCGAATTGATCAAGTCTTCTATCCACTCGACTAGATCAATTCGACGGGCAATGACTTTGAGGGACCGAATCAACCCCGGGTTACCTACGGTCTTCTTCTGTTGTGGTACATATTGTTTGCTTGCTTTTATTATTATTATTATATTAAATTATATAATAATAATATGAATGAGTTCAACTTTCGCCCAAACTTCTGGTTGCTGCCCCCAACCATCATCTCTCAGCTCCCTCTTGACATGTAGATTGAAAAAAAAAAAAATTAATAAATTGCATCATAGTCTCAGTCATAATATCTCTCCCATTATACTCTTGAGATGTAGTAAATGATCCAAGTACAATCTAATTGTGTTTGGCTTTTTTAAAAGATAAGCTCAAAATATATTTTCAAGTTTAGCACATTTTCATAAGGAACAAATCGAAACATGAGTTGTTCAGTAACATTGGACTTTTTTTTTAACAAAGTTCAGAGTGTGAATAGTCATATCATTAGCAAAATCCCATAATAAGGTCATTCCGATGCATGAAGTTGCTTATGGATTGATGGTTATTAAGAATGGGGAATAACCGCCATTGTTGATCTCATATCTAGTAAATAGGAAAAGCATCCATAGTAGTGAAGGAGAAATTGTTATGTGCAGTCACTGGACCGTTCGGAGACGAATCAGGATACATCATGCCACCCGATACATAGCGGTACATAGTAGTACACAACAAAATGGTGATGTGCCGCATCCTGATCGCCTTTGGACGGCATTTGGTGACTGAACGTAATAGTTTCTCTATCCATTAGAGGAGTTAAACCAGACTTTGATTTCTCCATATCCACCCAGAATGGAACACCATTTGACAGATAAAAAGAGGAAGTCTTTTCAACGGAGTCTTTGCGAAATGGATACCTATTCATATTCTCAAAAGCTTTTTTTATATCTAATCTTGACAAGACCATCTGTTATCTTTTTTTTTTTTTGAGACAGGGAGTATCGGCCTTCGGCCACTAATCTCCCCGGTCGACCTAGCGGACAACCCACCCCATACTCATCCGGGCCAACACTTAAGGCTTTTCACGAATTGTCATGGGATTCGAACTCGGTACCTGACCTATGGCCAGCCAGTTCTTCACCACCAAGACAACCCGTGGTGGGTCTGTTATCTTTCAATCCTTACAAACTTAGCTGAAGTGTACACGCTTATAAGTAACATGCTATTCACGGCATTTTTGCCTTTTAATGATGCGAGATGCATAATAGAGAAATTCTAAAGCTGGTACTCTGTCCCTTTCCATGGCATACATGCGAGTGACAGCTTTACATCCATGTCTTCATTCATGCAAACAAGCAAAAACTCCTTATAATGGACTTAGTGACGTTGCAGCCTTAATGAAGAATTATTTAAGCATTATTGTTGCATCTGATGATCCATGAATGTTTTCCATGTGGGAGATGTCATGAATGACAACGAAACATAGCATGTGGTGGATGACAGAGATTTTTTATACTCGTTTGATGATGTAACTAGTGTGATACATCTTTGTTGTGATCTCTCTTAATAGTACCTCAATTGTATCTTTGTGGAGATGGATGACCCCCGAGGTTTAATGGTTGTCAGCAAGCAATGCTGAGTGTTGTCAGCACATAGGAAGATGTTAGCGGAATATAGTCCACTGCATCTATTCCATGGAAAGGTAGGTAGAAACTGTCTTATGGAGGAATGTTTGTATAATACAGCTGTGAGAGGTAGCAGGATAAGGACATCCTTCAGGTAAATTGTTTGCCTTGAAGTATGTGTTGATACTGTGGTTGAATGGATAAAATGTCTTTGATTAAAGTTAAATGTGAACAAGGCTTCACTGTCTCATGTAATTAGGTGGTCACAAATTGTTATTTATCTGGACCAACTGTACTGATAAACAGGATGGATTGTGTTGAAGAACTCGACGAGTATTGAATCCATTTGAGACAGAGGAATCTTTGGATCCAGGATTAATATGAACTTAATTAGGTGGTTAGTTTAATCGTAGTGGGAATAAACAGAAGGAAGAGATAATAAGACTTGAAATAACAGTGAACAAATCCATTAATGGCTGATAGAGAAAGCTCAGAGACTTGAAATTGTTGAGGTAACTACTCCCAAAGCATTCAACACAGAACTTGACGCCAGTATTCAAGACCCCAAGAAAGCTCAGCGAACCAGGGGAAGGGAATTGGGACCAGTTCATATTTATAGATTGTGAAAGTGATATTTTGATCTTTTTTGCTAAAATCCTGAACATCATATCAAACTATTTGTATCGACCTCCTGATTATGGATCATTCTTTAGGCATTATGTACCTTAATGAGATCAAAATTAAGTAATCTTGGATTCATTGGGTTCTTCTATTTGAGATGCTTGTTTTTATTACAAGTATAAAATATTTAGAGATTATTTGATTTCTCAGATATATTCATTAGTTTTCAACTATGAGAGTTTGATTTATGTTCATTTGGATGCACATTAGGATATCTTTGATGTTGTTGGATTTATCTCTTCTGAATATTTATTGTGACTGCAAGTTTATTAAAATCAGAGTTTGAATGATATTAATTTTAGTTAGAAAATTTTAATTAATTTAAGTATTATATTTGATATATCATCAAAAAATTATCTTGACCGGGCACGGAGGTAAAATCAAGTTGGAAACTTCCGAGATACTTCCGAGATTAAATCTGGGACCATTCAAACTTTTATTTCAGTAAACTTACAGTCGAATTGAACGTCTCGAAAAGACAAAGCCAAGAATATCAAATTCAACTCAACCCAACTCCAAATGGGATCAAAACGAAGGCCCGAAACGCATTTGGAAGGTTCAAACTATTAATTGAACTTAATTTCCATGAATAATTCAGAATGCAACAATATTAAAATTTATATTTAATTAATTGAAATTTTTATAACATTTCAATTTTAATTGAATTAAACTTGATTTTGTTCATTTCGTGCAAACTGTCGGACCACTACAAACAAAATTCTGCAATGTGCTCTAATATTAGTAGAAATAGTACAATATGTAACCAATTTTACGAACGGTATGAGAATTAAAGTATTACTCTTTTAGAAGCTAAGCCTTTTCATATTTTTTACTTTTATTTTTCTCCTTTTGAAGAATGAGATATTTTGCATTAATCTTCATAGGCCAAAACATTTTATCCGGTTTAAAAAATTATAGCATCGACCTATTTGTAACTTTTTTGTTTTGCTTTTTAATAGCTAAAAATAATAAATATATTAATTTTCGCTAATTTGAGAATCTTAAGAATAGTTTAATTTATTTTTTAAAAATAAAAAAAAGTAAAAATAGTTAAAAAAAAAAACAAAATTAAATATATGCAAAAAAAAATCTTAAATAGGCTCTAAATAATTGCAGAAGAAACCAAGAGGAAAGCTACGGTATTAAAGAAGCTCAATTAAGTCCAACAAAATTTTCTCAGGAAAAGGGAGACATTGACAATGACCGGCACTGTTCATTCTGCCGCTTGAGAGATCATACTATTCTGAGTTGCTCAAAAACTATTTTACTCGATCGTCCTTTTTCATATCTGTAAGCAACAATTTTGTTTCTCTTTCAAGACCACAAAGCCTCGGGATTTTGGCTCTCTTAGGAATGAAAGGCTGCAATTTTATTAAAAAAATATTTGTAAAATATTTTAAGGAAAATGTAGAAATAAATTGACAAATGTAGACCATAGCGGATCTCTTTTAGATGCTTGTAAATAAAAAATTCTGTTTGCAGATAATTAAATAAATTTATTAAATTTTATCATTTGATCGCATGAATTTTAAACTTTATAAATGCCTGAAATAAAAAATAAAATTGTGTAATTTTTTAAGAAAAGCTGCAAATCTACAAAGTCTAAGGCGTTCAAGAGCAATAATAGCTTTGACTAACTCATCATGGCATTGCAGGGAATGAGCTGCTCTGATCAATTGGGATCGTGCTTGTTGTCATTTTTTTATTTTTTATTTTTTTTCTTTGTTGAAAGAGCTGAGGTCCTAAACCCAATTATATTAAACATGAGAAAGTAAAATCTATGGGCAGAAAAAGCTATTGAATTATGTATACTTGAAAACATATTTTATTTAAAGAGCATTTTGATTTGAATTCCATAGATTTGAGCATTTTTAAATAAATCATAAATTTATCATCATTGATGCTGACCGTTGTCTACCCGTCATCGCCGACCACCTCCATCACCATCGTTGGCCATCACAAGCCAATATTGGCTCCGCTACCAACCACTTGCCACTGCTTCCACAGAGGTGAGGCCTATAAAAAAAAAAAAATCAATCCAAAGTTAATTAATACTTTGTCGACAGCTATGTGATTGAGACTTTGTTAGGGTTGTCTTTCTTATTGCTTCTTAAAGCAACTTTTTAGTATAAAAAATAAAATTTTTGTATTAAAAAGTTGCTTTAAACAACAATAAGAAAACTGTCCCAAACGAAACATAAGTGAATTAGTATTTGTGTAATTGTGTAATGAGGGTATAGATCCAACCAAAACTTAGATTGAGCAACTCATCATTGCCAAGACCCTGTAAGAAGCTAGTCATAAAAGCACAGAAACTGCAATGATAATCCAACAGTAGAGTGCTCCAAAAAAAAAGTGTTCATGCACATGCAGTCCTTAAAGAAAGCATATTTCACAGGGAACTACAAGGAAGATCAACAGAAAAACTAGAAGATAACATGGAGAAGAAATAGATCTGAAAATACCTATCCAAAACGACGGAGAATCCAATTGTTCCACTATATAGATTAATGAGAAAAGACGAAAAATAATGAATTACAGTACCATCATCATAGCTAATCATTTGAACCAAAACAACTAAGCAACTCTTAACCCCATTAGGCCACTCATCCTTCCACTTCAATATTCTCATTATGTAAGCCACTCGCATACTAACTTTAACAGCAACAGCAGCTGCAGTGATATATCACTTTTGCCATATAAGCTATCATTTCCTGCTCTTCAAATAATAGCAGACACATTGAACCAAACTTATTTGATGAAGCACAGTTCAGGTATATGTTGAAATAGTTTTTTTTTTCCTTTATAAAAGCCATATGAATTTTCCCTATTTCATAAAGTTTTTCAATATCATTAATTAAAGCTCAAAATAATTTTTTGTAGGACATTGAGCAAATTAAATCAAAAACACAAATGCATATATACATCATATATAAAAGCTTCAAAAACTCCCACCCAACTGGCCACAAGAGTGGTTAATGATGTATAGCCAACAAATTTGAAAGAGCCTAGTTCCTATTCTATATGGAGGAGGTAAATGATTTTGTGTTTAAATTAAACTTTATGCATCATTACAGGGGCAGATCCAGCTTCTTTTTTCTAGATGGTCAAAATTTTAATTAATTAGACATCAACAATAATAATAACAAACATAAAATAAAAAAAAATAAGAAAAAAAAAACAATAACATCAAATAGTAATAATAACAAAATAATTTTTTTTAAAAAATTAAACAATATAATGTTATCAAATTTATAAGAGTAAATTTTTATCATTTATCTTCCAATTACATATTGGGAATGTCAAATGTGATTAGGAAGAAGACGACTGGGAGGCGGCGACGTCTTGAACATCGAATGCGCTAATTGTGAAAGCGGTTGCGAAGTGCGAACTTGCGGGATGGACAGAGACGCTTAGTATGATAATATTATAATAAATATGTTATTTGGGGGAGGGAGGGGGGTGCACATATCAAAAATGCCCCCGCTAGTACATTATTTATTTTTTTAGGGTGGGCATTTGTCCACCCTGACATCAAGGGGATCCTCCCATGGGCATTAGTTTCCAATAAAAGTTATATGAAAGGTATAGCAATTTATCTCAAGATGATATGTACTAAAAACCTTGTAATAGTTTGATTAAAAGGAAAATGAACATCAATATTTCTACTAAAAGTCAAGCCAATAAAGGTCATCTTCCAACATAATATATATATATATAGAGAGAGAGAGAGAGAGAGAGAGAGAGAGAGAGAGAAGTAGAGACTATTAATTAGTGTGGTGTCTGGACCGTCCGGAGTCGAATCCGGACGCACCACATCACCCGGATGCACCAGGCCCTAGGTGATGTGGTGCGTCTGAATTGGCCTTCGGACGAACCCGGAAGCCCCACGTAATAGTTTTCCAGAGAGAGAGAGAAGAAAATTATGGTTGGGTATGCATGTGAACCGGGAAGCAACGCACGTACTTTGCCATGTTACAAATGTTGTTTTGCTGACTTGAGAGGGCCATTGAATTATTGGTTGTATGCATAGGTTAGCTAGCTTAGATATATAGCTCTTATCTATTTCCAGCTGCATGATTGACACAGCCATTCAGGCATTTTGGC